GCCCGCGATCTATTTTCCCAAAATTAAGGATATGACCAAGTTGCGAAAACAAGGTTAAACAACTTCTATATAACTAAATTATCTCGTTTTCTCCTATTTCTGATTTGCTTGTTTTCTTTCTTGGGAGACTGAGATATTACTTATAACTACTTTGCCATTTTATTCGCCTCCAAGATGGAACTTGTGATCCTGTTCTACCAGGCCACAAAAGGGCCAGAGGAAATCGGTCTTCAGAAGATGAAGCTCTGCGGCGCCAGCTGCGTCTAAATCGTTTGGAAATTGCCAGAACTACTCTACTTTCTCACTCTATTTTAGACAGCCATGCTTCATCCCAAGCATCGAATGATTCTAACGAGTCTGGCTTCGATGCACTTATAATCGCCACTCGTTTTCATCCATCCGACATCACTATGCTACTTCTCCAGTTCCTACCCATAGGAAGGCCCTTCGTAATTTACTCTATGTTTCTACAGGTATGCGCAATATCTTTGCATATTTAGAAGCTTTTTGGGACTGGTATTATGAAATTCAGTCAGGAAAAAACTGAGGTTGTAACGGTTATTTATTCTTCTGTGCTGTTACCCTAGGTTTTACAGTACTGGTCTTTTAAGCAGATCTTTTATTTTTCTATAATTATTTTGACTCCTATCTACAAAAGCTTTTTATACTCCATTTAGGTTGACTTGACAGTGACTTGATTCTCATTGATAAAATAATGATTTAATTTGTTTCTAAATGGTATAATTAAGCTCACCACACTATCTTCATTGTATGACGATTAATCAAGAAGTTCTAATCTTATAAAGGGCTATATTCAGGGTATTTTGTTTAGGATGCTGAAGTACTCGTAGTTGAATATTCCCACAATGATACGAGTAAGCCTCACGTCTTTATTGAATTTCACAATTATTCTATTGCAATAGAAAATGCACCTTTGCCTTATGGACAATCCCACTATCGAAATGTGCCATGAGAAAGGCCTGGCCTTCTCTAAAATTTACGTCTACTCTTTGATCCAAGGGCACTCGTGGCATGGTGGTTGACTTGTCGAAACTATACACTGAGTTCACGTCCCACTGGGGATACTGATGAAGCCCATGCGAGGACGAGACTGCACTTCATCTTTGAGAAAGCAGGGATATGCGAAATTCAATTAAAAAGTAAGAACTGCTCATGTAATTCAACTATTAGTCTTTCATCGCTATGAGTGAAATAGGGTGGTTACTGTTCATATTTAAGATCTACTAGTAGTTTAGAATCTAATTTTAAACCAAATAATTTCTTCTTTGATTTCATATCTTCCTGGGGCTCGGTTTTTTAGTATTAGTTTTGCTTTTTATCTAGGCTCACTTTACTCTGATATAAAGATGTGTCAACGG